CATACTTCTGCCCCCCACACACACACACACACACACACACACACACACACACTTTAGCCCAGTAGACACCAATTTAATAAAACATTTTTTGTTAGAGGGTATGTTTTATTTCTATGGTTGCTCTCCACTAACCAGCCAACCAGCTCACTTTTGTTGTCAGATTGTGTCTTTGTCTGCCAAAACCAGTTGCCAGGTGTGTGTATGTATGTGTGTTTCAATGAGTCACTCATCCCTCCCTATGATCATAGCTGAGGTTACATTCTGGGTCAGTGATGCAGACAGAGAGAGGATGTGGAAATTGCTCATTTATATGTGTGTGCGTGTGTGCGCATGCAGTGTTAGAGCCGGGTTTTGTTTGTTTGAGGATTCGCCAGCTGCAACCTCTCCCATGAGCCCCCACCCCTGATCTCCTGAAACACCCACTGCTATACTCCAAGGTGTAAGTGTATGTGTGTGCGTGGCGAGAGATGGCTATCGATGCCTCTTCCCATAATGCAAATATGCAAATGAACGTTACCAAACACTGGCTGTGGGGTCACTGGTACTGCCCCACCCCTCAACTCTATTCAGTACGTGTGTGTTATTCAGTGTATGTGTGTTCTATTTGTCAGAGCGGCTTTTAAGTAGATCAACTCATTAGCATGTTAATTATGTGCAGAGCACTAATTGCTGGATTTACCACAGCCACGCAATGTGCCGTTAGGGGCCCGCCACTACACACACACACACACGCCCTGCACATGCTTTCATACACACTGTTTACCTCTAGTGTACATGCTGCGTTAGAGGTAAACCTTCGCACATGAAGCTCGTGCACACACACACATGCTCAGACGCTCACACACACACACACATCGGTGCTCCCCTGCCGCTGTTTGTTTTGCTGTAAGTCTGGTCTCTGGCACAAACAGAGTTTCCAGGTTCAATCGTTAATCACTGCCTCTGTGAGATTAGCAGGCTAATTTACTCCTGGGTCATCAACAGCAGCCAAAACACAAAACACACGCACACCAGCTTACCGCAGCCCTGTTCAAAAATCAAGTGCCAGTTGTACTTCCTCCAAATGATACTGCAGTTAACACACACTGATGAACACAAGTGAACAGGCTAGCTGCTGGTATTCTACCATCACCTGTCTTGTGTTATTGGAACATTCATGTGTTTTTTGCTGGCTGGTTGCCAAGGCCTGCTGAATAGTCAACAAACTAAAGGTGGAAGCTGATGTGCAGATACAATTTCCACTTTACCTGAACGTCAGATAGATTGTTGTTTGTGTTCAGCGTCTTTAAACAATAATCAGCAGCAACATATTTCTTTAAATTATTCTAATTTCCCCTCTCTTAACCTCTCATAACCAACTTTTATTTTAGCAGGTTCCACTCTGCAGGGGTGAGATAATGACCTAATGGCGAATCTCTACTCTGAAACATTGATTTCAGGTGTTGAATGGCCTTGCAAATGGTTAGGTGAATAACATTAGGTTAATAAATGAAGCTTTTTGTCAGAAAGTGTAACTACAGGTTTGCCTCTTCACTGAATGGAACTAATCATGATCATGACACTATAGCAAATCGTCAGTGTTACACAGGGCACGTGTAAGGCTGTGATACTCTTCATTTCAGGATGAAACCCTTGGTGTTAAGAGGCTTTTTGGAACAAAATACTTTTATACATTTGTTGTTTCCAGCAGAGGTTCAACCAAGCCTGAAGGCAGATTTGAGTACCACAACACTTGACTTTTGCACTCCTGTTGAATCCATCTCCTTGCTCTCTTCTCCTCTTTTTATCTTTTATCTTCATCCGTTTGTCTCCACCTCTTCATTCCGTCAGTCAGCGGACAGATAGACAGTTGGGAGGAGGAGGGACGGAGGGAAGCGATAAAAGAGGACAAAGCAGGCATCACTCCCGCCTGTACCCGTCTCATCGCTGCGTCAGCGCTAATGACTTAATGAACACTTCTCTGGCAGATTAGCCCTTGACAGCCCATCATATGCGCCGCCCCGTTAGCCTTCATGCCTGTCCACTCGATGTTGTGTGTGCTAACCTGCTACTACGCTAGCTGGCAGGTTGCTCAGATTGCCACATCCTTATGGAAGTGATTAGCGACAGGAAATGCTAATGAGTCCAACAAAATGAAGAGCTGGCAGGACATGTATGATGAGATAGAAAAACTGTGGCGATAGAGGAGGAGGAGTTGCGAGGGGGGTTAGAGAGCTGATGGGAGATGAGTGGCTTGAAAAATACCTCATTCACTTCCACTCTTTTTGGCTTTCTTTTGCTATTGTGTGTACATAAGGTTTAATTGAGGCCTAAAACGAAAGGGGAGCATCCATTGCTAATAAGCATGGTTGAAAAGGAAAAACGGCCAAGTGAAAGGCGGTTAAAAGAAAAGGGGTAAAGTAGATAGATGGAAGCAGTGAAACATAACGTAAATAGATGAGAAGATTGTTAATGTTTTTGTCAGTGGGTCGTAGCACTCGTAGTGGGTGCGGAATCTAGTCTGAAAGTCCTATACAGCATCTTTAACTATTCAACTAATTATGACTTTGCAGTTCCCTTTAGTGCTTTGGCTTATTGTTTTGTTCTTCCGGCCCACAAACTGACTGGTTTTGGCTCCGAAAAACCCACTGTAAACGACCTGCCAAGCATCAAACTGCAGACAAACAAAAGTTAGCAACTAGCTGGTGAATGTAGTGGACATTTTGGCAGGAAACTCCAAATGAAACATTGAACACACATTATAAGATGACATGAAATAATATGAAAAATGTTTCATCTTTTTTGCTAAAATAATAGATACAGCGTTAAGACACAAAAATACAAAGTCATATAGGTTGTCACCTACATTGCTACATTATGTGAGCATCCACCTGTGTGGTTACTGGCGTAAACATTGAGTGCCATTCTTCAACACATAACAGTGGGCTAGTGGTGTCATGATCAGTCTCATTTGCGTTTCGAGACACAGACACCTCGTCCTCCCCCACGCAAGGACAGTGGCTTGATAACAGGCCTGCCGATCTCCTCTGAACAAAAGAGGGGGACGGAGAGGGAGAAAAAGAGAGG